CCTGCTCGGCGCCGCGCGCGCCCTTGCCTTTCCCCGCCTTCACCTTCTCCATGATCGATCGATATTCGATTGTGACCTCCTTCAGACGTCACTCCTTGTCAACCTCTCCTTGTGTCTGAGGGCGTGCTTGGTCNGCGCCTCCATCAGCGAGATAGGCCTGCTCGGCGCCGCGCGCGCCCTTGCCTTTCCCCGCCTTCACCTTCTCCATGATCGATCGATATTCGATGGTGACCTCCTTCAGGACGTCACTCCTTGTCAACCTCTCCTTGTGTCTGAGGGCGTGCTTGGTCATAGCGTACTCGTTGGAGAGGGCATCCAAGAAGAGGTGCAAAACGAAGGTTTCGTTAACATCAAGCCCCCGTTTCGAAAGGGACTCTGCGGTGGCGAGCATACTGTTGAGAGCATGTTGCGGATTCTCTGCCATCGGGATCTTCTTGGATGTCAGGGATTTTAACTCATCCGCAGGCTGCATGGACGATTCTGGGTCGTACAACCCCTTCAGCTCACGGAGCGCCCCCAGGGGCGACTCAGCTCGCTTCATTATTGTCCTGTCTTTCTCGTCCTTGAGAGCTCCACGGAGGAAATTCCACGCGTGGAAAGCGAGCTCTACTTTGTCGTGCGGGTAAAACCTGGACAGTTGGACTTTGCTCTGCCCACTGTTTACGGGGATCTCCGCCCCCCCCTCCTCGAAAAGTTCAAGAAGGTTTGCTGTATTCGCTGCCATCAATAAATCCTCTAGCCACGAAGAAAAGCTCTTGGCGTCTCCGCTGAACGTGGGCGCTGTGTACTTCACGCTTTGGTATCCCACGCTCGCACTACCGAAGACAGCAGCACCACTTCCCATGGCGCTGCTGAAACAAGCTTGATTGTGAGCAGCGGCTACTCTCACCTCTTGGGGGTCTGAACCCCCTACTTCGCCGCTGTGTCGTCCCGAAGGACCAGACTCTCTTCGCAGGTCCGCTGCCTGCGCGCTCCCGTCGTACTGCACGGTCCCAAAATGACCTGCAGTGCTTGTGGCGACGCTCTCCACGGCGCCGCCGCTTTCAGCGGCGCCCTCCGTGGCACCGCCGGACTTGTCCTCTATACGTGCAGCAAGTCCTCCGACCAGCGGCACCAGCTGGCCCATTTGCTGTGTAAGCGAACTGATCTCATACCGCAGGCTGTCGATCTGCTCGCTGCTATTTGTGTCTCCTGCCTGCGAGCCGTCCGGAGTGGTCCCTCCGGTTCTGCGGCCCGCCATCCCTAATGGACTCCCTCGAGGGAATAAACACTAGTGTGTTGGTATGTCCGTACTTGGGAGGAGAAGACACGCTTTAACTCTCTCTGATTAGGCACCCGCGGGAGCGAGGAAAGGAAGGGAAGAAGTGGCCCTCCCGAATTCGGGGAAGGGGGCCCACACATAGTAGCCTTTTTCAGGCATACGCATGCTCCTGTCTACGTACCCCCTCGTGCTGCTAGCAGATCTACCATGCTCGCATCCAGACCCACGAACAGAGATGACCGGCAAGTGGGCCTTTGTGAACATGAAGCCGCAGCAGAAATTCTTGCTAAGCCCTGTCGCCAAGCAGTACCGGGTAGTCACTCTGCTTTCTAACTGGCACTCATGCATGAACGGGGGCAACGAGATTTCGCAATACTCAATACTTTGGCGTGGTGCCACCCACTTTCGAGGAGTACGTAGCGGTGTAAGTGCAAGATGCACCCACGTTGTGTGAGAATTCTAGGCATCGTCGGTGTTCCAGGTGTAAACCAAGACAAATAGCCGTTTGCTGGCGTGAGCAAGTCGCGCACGATAGACTTTCCAATTTTATGTGAGTTTCGAATGATCAGCGCTAAGATTATTTTTTCTCCTTGGTCGTTTAGGTGGGCAAACGCGGGCGATGCGGGCAAGCACGGACGGTGTATGTATATCGTACGGGTGTAAAAGCATTGCGTAACAATCGGATGCCGCGGTTATTGGGGACAGTTAGTTGGAGGGTTTTAACGGTTAACTTCTTGGGAGTTAAATTGTTTGGTGCGAAGAAGTCGTCTCCTCCTTGCTGATCATTTATTATGTGGGCAAACGCGAGCGGATGCGTAGGGGAAGTACGGAATGTATCGTGCGGGTGAAGCACTGCGCAAAAGACAGACGCC